CAGCAAACATTAAGGATATTTTGTTGCTTACACTTCCCCATATAATAAACTTTGTACGTCTCCTGGCCTGATCTTTTATGAGAATTGGCTCTCAGTCTGTACCTGACATTTCATCTTATTTGTTATTTGGAATCCCCCTTTTCTTCTATACTCTAGCAGGTACCTTCTGGTTTACATATTTTAAGTTCGGTGTTCATGGTCCTTAAATATACTGGCATCCGTACATGTTTTTTTTCATGTATTTATTATCTTTACCCCAATTACCTTGGGTTTGCTTATTTTATATCTGCTTCTCTATTTTTGTAATGCTCTCTGAAACGAAACTATTTTTGAACTTTGTTTAACTTTATTTTATTGTATCAGGAACGAATAACGCACGTCTTGCCGCTATGCTTCGGCATTTGGCTATTTACCACAGCCGAGATTCTTATAATCTTTTCCTTGTCCGCTTGGCTCAAGGAATTACTCATCTCGGTAAAGGAACTCTTACCCTTAGCCCATGGCACTCGGATCGCTCTCTTTTGCGCCCTGTCGCAGTTGCCGGTCTCCTCACACTCCTCGTATCCTGCATTGATATGCGCATGACATTTATGGGTCGACATGATTACTTACTCTTCTATCTGACCCCGGCAATCCAGCCACGCCTTTTGATGACCTTTGATGAAGAGCTTAAGCCTCTACCTGTAACCGTTCGCGTCGGTCAAGCCGTTGACGTAGTCGGCCAAGCGGGCCGCCCTAAAACTATTACTGGCTTCCAGACACACACGACTCCGGTGCTTCTATCACACGGCGAGCGCGGAGAACTGGCTACAGATGAGTACCTACCAGTCACCAATCTACCGTTAGAGGGCTTCATCATACTGAGAAAAAATCCTGATTATGAAGAGGCCAAGGCCTGATGCTTTATATCTTCTTCCTACTTTACTGCAGCTCTGTTCTGTATCCTGATGCTGTTTTCCTATTTAACTACTTACTCAAAAGTCATTGTTTGCTTAGTGGCGAGTGTCCTTTTTTGTGTAAATTTAGGGTGTTTATCCTAATTTATTTCAGTATATGGCCCGGTGTTTTATGAAAAAGGCTAAGCTGAGCTAACCGCTACTGATTTCTATTTAAGGCAAGCCGTGGTAGATTAGATTATCCAATGGACCTGTATATGCCACTAAACTTTGGGCTCTCTTAGTTCTTAGTAAGTGTATTATTCCTAGTTAAAATATTAGCAATTAAATAGCTATCTGAGCTCCCCCCTTTATAATTTTCAATAAGGTTGACTAGCTCTATTTTGGTTATTGTCGATTTGGTGCCGTTATTATTTTTCTTGCTCTATTTGCTTACCAGGCATTTAAAGAGCTTGGTTTGTGTTAATATCTTTATTTTGATATTATGGTGGCCTCGCATTTTAGTTTTGAATATGGGATATAAGGGAATTAGTGAACTGCATTTTATAGTGATCCTAGTATATTCGCACTTAGTTAAGTGTAGATCTTGTAGTGTCACTAGCATATCGAAACCAACCTGGCATTGAAATCACAGGCATAATTACACTGTAAACTGATGTTATTATTGCTAATAACTTACCTTGGTTGGTCAATGTGTCAGAATCCACAAACTATTATACAGGCCTTCACTTCATACTGCCTTGTACCGTTTTTTTTCGCACTTACATGGGCTAGCT